GGCCCTTCGTCAACGAAGCTAGGGCCTTCGCTCGAAACGTCGAGTTTCTGCTTATTTTTTAAGGGAACAATCAATAGCATCACTAAGAAATTGGTGGGTGGGTTGGTGAGGGAGCTGCCGAATTAAGGCATGAGCCTGTCAGCGGGTCTGGGGGCACGCTCACCCAGAAGATTTTGAAATCTGAAAACATCCACATCATCCCACAGGAAATGTGAAGTTGCAAGCTCTCATCCTATTTATAGTGTATTTTGATTTTCTCAGGAGTAGATTCTCCCCCTCCAGACAGCATAAATTTCCTCCATGTATAGTTGGAGTGTAGATTTTTCTGGAATATGACTCAAAGTTCAAACCATAGAGTCATGTATTTCCACAACAGATTGGAATACACAAAGAACTATAACAAGAATATTTTTATTAACCTAACTGTGGATCCTTCCTCTCTCTTGGACAAATTGTTATCTTTCCCTGTGATTGTCTTCGTGAAATTGGTTACAGAGAAACTATGATTAAACTAGAGGATAATGATTTGCCATTTCAGTACTATATAAAATGAACTTTATTAAGTGTATATGCAGTTTTGTGGATGAGAAGAAGCATGCATCCACAATTTTTGGTAATAAATACTGTTTTTCAGGTGGAAGAATGTGTAATAATATTAGTGTAATATGATTGTTGTCTTTTATCTTGCAGGAATTATTGGCTATAGATATCACAATTAAACATGAGACAAGGCATTAAAATGCAGAATAGCCAAAAGTGAAGTCATAATATTAATACCATAACAACTTAATTATCTGATGGCAATCATTGAAGGATTTTCTGGGACCTCAGAAAGTTTTCCCACCCCAGAAATTTAAATGCTGGTTTGATTAAATGACAGCAGTGCAATTGAACAAGAATTTTGAACTAAATAAGACTAAAAAACAAGGCTAATAATCTCGAAATATCCTGGGGTCACTGCGTCCAATCTTATCCCAACTCTGTCCCCACTAGTGACTGTACCCTCAGACTCTGCTGTATCTTACTCAGCACACTACGTGTAGCCTGCATGCAGCCTGACTTGGGGAAAAGTCATTGTTTTTCCCCAAGTCAGGCTGCATGCAGGCTAACTATGTGCTACTCGCTCACTTTCCACCCCTAAATTTTTCTGCACACCCACACCCCAACTCCCCAAGCAAAATTTGAAAATCTGTCTATGATGATGATGATAACATATAAAAGTATAAACCTTTATTAAGTTAATATTAATTAAGTCAGGGGTGGATCCACCAAGGTTTTTCTAGGGGGTGCTGGGTGAGCAGCCAAATGTTTCTTTATAATTCTTTAGGGGGTGGTGGCCGGGAGAGCATTCAAATGAATTGGCTTCCTAACGACTCAAACACCAAAGGCGCAAGCTCCCTAGGGGGTTCAAGGATATGCCATCAGAAAATTTTGGAAATTAAAATCCTAGAAATGCCATTTCCTATGATATGGACATTGAATTATGAGCTTCAGTTTGACTTCAAAAAAGGGAAAACCTTGGAAATTATGCCATATTTCTGAATTTGATTTTATTGCACCCCTGCATGTTGACCAAGGCCAACAGGGGTGTGCATCCTGTGCACCCCCTTATTAACCCACCCCTGAATTAAGTTAACACATACTCCACTACATCATGTACTACACTTATAATAATTACAATAATTTTAGTGTTAATTTAAAATAATTCATTGTTAATAATTCTATTGAAGAAGTCCAATTAAAATAGTTCAAAATTAATCCATCTTTTGTGTCTTCAATTTCCATACATCTTGCTTGGTACTGTGTTTTGCCTGCTCTACTTTTACTTGTCAGTGGGAGAGTGCTTCCACTCTATGGGTTAATTGGGAAACCAGAGTGAGTCAGGACAAATGCCAAATCATGGTATCCCAATTGTGAGATACAGTAATTCTGGAATAAACAAGAATATATTATATGTTGTAACTTTGAACACAACAATGATGATGGGAAAAACAAAACAATGTGACTCAACAACAAACCATGCAGAGACACCAGAACCATTCGTGCAATTATCAGGCTTAATGGTATAAATATAATCAAAAGTGGCCAGCTGATACAAGGTACCTTCCCAGTGCAAAGGAAGCAACATACAGTAGTTACTACGTAATTGCCAGATTGCCATCCAGTATATCTGGTGTTCCAAATTGTTTAACCCATTAAGCAGCAGAGCTTCCCCATTGACTAGTAAAATCGTCTGGCGTTAGACAAATAAACAAAAAAAGCAGGGTGCACTGGGGTGCATTGCAGCTCAATGGGTAAAGGTTATGATAGGATTTATGTGCCACCTTAGCTTACATCGATCACCCCTACAACCTTATGCCCTAACAATGTGTTGTAGATGACCAATGTAATATCTTTTTACTTCATCCACGTATTGTGGTACAAGGGGGTATATATAAGTTATTAACAGGTATTTTGGGAAATATTTGAGTACTTCAAAACTCAGACCAAAAGTCATTGAAATTGATTAGCCTTTTATGCAAAGTTGGCACATATTACACAAAACCTGAATATATTTAAACACATACCTGACATACCGTTTGCTTTGAAGGAACGTCTGGAGTTAATAGCATTTTCTAAAGTAATTTATAAATAACAAAGTTTAGTTTCTCGACTGCGACCAAATTTTGAAATATACAGATGCCAATTTGCACCAAGAAAAACAGCAAAAGACTGTTTTCTTAACAAAAAGAGTGCATTTCATCGTTAAGCTTACGTTAAGCCTACCAATTTTATGTGAGATAAGATATAAAAGCATAAATAAAATTGAATGAAATACCTGTTTTATATAGCTCGCTGATTCAAATATCCTCTTTTAATACTCATCAGTGCGAGTCTGCAAGGTTTGGTTTTGGTTTTGTTGTCTTTCCCGGGAATAATAACACGTACGACTTGCACATATCTTTGAACCAATAACCAATTTTAGAAAAAATATCTCGAAAACATTTTAAAAATCGATTCAAATATCGAGAAAATACTACAAAACCCGACCAAAATTGCAAAAACCTAAAGTTTTTTAAAGAAAACCAGGGGTGTGTGGAAATTATAGCGGGCTCAAATCCGAGCCTGGTCAGTGGTAATTACCATGAGAAATACGGACCAGTTGTCATGGAAATGGCGTCAGCAAAGGCCGAAATCCGCCATGTTTTTGGCTTCACTTTTTTTTCCCGTGCAGGTCCTCCAGTAATATAGTATAGCTCAGTGACCTTGAGTGGGTGGTCATCCTCACTGATCTCAAAAATATGGCGGACTGTCATGGATAGCGTACACTGATTGGTCAAATTTAAAATTTGTTGTTGTATGACAAATGACAACTTCAACTGACAGATACTTCATCAAAATAATTTGCTTTTTTTCCTAATCGTGTCGATTCGAGATTTGCGATGTAACATTTGCCTCGTTCTGGTGTGAATAATTATGTGAATAATTATGTGAATATATAACAATGATATATAATTATGTCGTCATAGCGACTCGAAGACATTCTCGAAGACCATGATTGTGCTCGCTCTCTTCGATTTCTCTCCGAGATATTTTGTTTTTTTATTAAGTGACCGTGGTTTTTGCTGTTTCTTGGGAAAGTAAATGAAGTTTTTTGTATTTTCTTCCATATTTCATTTGAAATGGTTGAAGATTATTGTGAGAGTATTAAAAGCTAAGTTGCGAAGTTTTATCGACTATAAAACCGACATTGAAAATCTCAACGGCAGACGCACAGTCAGCACAGAGCTGCCATGTTTTTAGTCCGTACGAATTCACAGCAGGTACAACTTTGCTCTGCGTGAAGGGTTTAAATCACAGTGGTTTAAATGCTAGACCAAAATATTCTCTTTGGTCTTTGGACGTTGATGAAATAGATCTTGTTACATGTAGATATATTTTTTGCATAGTTTTGTTGTTCAAGAATATAAGTTTCAAAGCATGTTTTATTTTGACGATAAATATCCTGTTTTTAATCAATATACAAATGATCCCAGTTATTTTACTGGGTTGCTTTCGAGCACAATGACCATGTCTACAGCAGGTGGTCATACAAATCAATATCTGACAAATCCCAGTTATTTGGCTGGGTTGCTTTCGAGCACAATGACCATGTCTATAGTAGGTGGTCAGTGACACACAAATCAATATTTGACAAATCCCAGTTATACAAATCAACACAACACAATTATAACCTGGCAGAGGAAAGTTGTACTGAAGAATTCAGCAATTTAAACTATCATGAAGATATTGCCAATGCCAGTGACGTATTATATCCTTTGTACCAAAGGGATACCTACTTAAGAAATCTTAGTTACTTTGTGGCCACAGTGAACACAATCAGTGCCAGTGATTATAACCCGGCAGAGGAAAGTTGTACTGAAGAATTCAGCAATTTAAACTATCATGAAGATATTGCCATATTTGCCAGTGACGTGTTATATCCTTTGTACCAAAGGGATACGTACCTACTTAAGTGCCACTTATTCATGTAATGTATGTGGTGGTATGTATTCGCCAAGTAATGATCCCAATTTGTCTTGGAGTGTTTTGGAAAATAAGTTAGCTTTAATAGGTCGAGTGCCATATGATAGTACAAGTTCACCATTTAGTAAGCAATCCTGAGTTATATATTGAAAGTCTATCAGAAATATCATGGGAAAATTATATCCAGGTAATGTCACAACCTGGAACATGGTGTGACAATATTATAATGCAAGCTGTAGCAAATGCCTTAGGTTGCACTATCCATATTACTGATTCTAGTTCGAACCCTAATGCTACTATTATAAGCCCATTTAACTTAGACCAGAGACAGAAAATTGTATTTTTAGGTTATATAAATAATATTCATTATGTTTCTACTTTGCCAAATACAACCACGGGTAATGAGAGAGATAATAAACGAAAGAAGACAATGGAAAGAAAGAAAGTTTATGCTAAAAAACAAAGGGCTAATGAAACTGTTGATGCCAAAAGATTTTGCCTAGAAAACATGACTGCATATAGAAGATCACATAATATTTCTCAATCTAAATATCTGAGTGAATTTGATTCCATGAAAAATGGTCCTTTGCATGACCAAAGCTGGGCAAAATGTAACATGCAACAATTTCATAAATCTGTGCAGTATTCAATTTTTCAGTGTACAGTTTGCAAAGAGGCATGGCCAATTACCAGTAAACCAAAATATGGTAGCTATGTATGCTTACGCTGTTCCACGGATAAAAACAAACCCAAAAAAATTTCTAATAGTAACAGCATGATTCCAGGAGCAGTACCTATTGAGTTACAGGGCCTAACTCAAACAGAAGAAATGCTTATTGCTTGAGCTCTACCAATAATGAGGGTCTATGTCAAACCGCATGGACAAAGAGGGTATTCTGGGCACTGCATCAATTTACCTCAACATATTGAAGAGCTTGCATCTGTTTTGCCAAGATATAAGTCAGAAGAGAAAAAGTGTATAATGCATTATTATGACTGGAGAAATAATCCACATTATAGAAATGTGACCATCAATCAACATGCTTTAGAGTCTCTGCCAATAATGGCATTCCGTCTGATATAACAACAGTTGAATCTGATAGTAATATCTTGTCAGAGGAAATGATATTACCTGACTTAGAGCCTCCTACTGATAATGATCATTCATCAAGACAAGGTTTACAATCAATCTGCAGAAATGAGTAGTTTTTTGCCAGCCTGTGAAAAACAAACACAAGAGGTGGATGCAATAAAAAATCAGTTGTTTCCAAATGAACCAATCAATTGGCCTATTGTAGATGACCAACCTATAAATGAATATCAGACACCATTTTTAGCGCCATTAGCATGTCCCTACGTTATTTCCTGATGGTACAGGGGATCCAACAAATCCAGGTATTTTAAAAGACATTCCCTTAGGTGAGAAGATAAAACATCTTTTGCTGATTACATAAATGGCAAATGGGTTTATAGATTTGCAAGTCATCCTAGGTTTACTTATTGGGCATTCAACATGATACACAGAAAAAGAGTCTTACAACAAAGTGGAATATTTTTTAAGCAAAATCCAGGCGAGGCTCACTTGACGATTGATGAACTTCGTGAAATGGCGTCAAGTGGTAACAGCAATACATTTATTTCTAAGATATCTCGATATGTAGCAAATGTTGCTGGCTCAAATGCCTACTGGTATAAAGTGAGAGAAGATCTCAAAGCCATTGTAACAACTGTTGGTGCTCCTACATTTTTTTTACATTTTCATCAGCTGATATGCATTGGCCAGATTTGCATAAACTCTTTGGCCAGATTTGCATAAACAAAAAATCACACATTTCGAAAGCACATCGCTAATCTATGATTACTTCTAGTTACACTACAGTATTTTGTACGTTTGCAAAAAACTTTGACAGCTTTCAAAGCAATTTGTTCTATAAAAATTTAATTAAAACAATTACGGTATCAAATACCAATTGAAAAGATATGGAGCCAAATGAAGAGAGGCAAGGAATGACAAGAAAGTCGAACGTCTAGCGAAAAGGAGGGAGCGAAGACGACAACGTTTGCTCGAGGAGACTGCTGAGGAAAGAGAAGCTCGCCTGGGAAAGCGTAGAGAAGCATGGAAAAAAGACTGCTGAAGCGAAAGGTAAGCAAAGGCTTGTGACGCTTGTCTTCACAACGCTAGGTACCAATGATACTGCAGCTATACAACAATTAATACAAGTTGAAGTATGATATTCAACCCTCTATATCCCTCTATATTCGACTATTTCTTCACAATTTTCCAATAAAGAGTTTGTCATGACACGCTCGGCTCAAGTCAGTATAACCAGACTGTATTTTATTTATATCAGTTATCACAGCCACAGGCAATTTTATGCTGCCAAATACCGTCGGTTGCAACTAAAGGTGAACAGTTGCAGATAATTAAAACATTCTCTATTCTCATTAAAAAGCCTGTAAAGGTTTCCAGTAGGTCTCTGGCCCAACACGTTCGCAGACCACACAAAGTTTTTTTTACTTATTATTGTACACAAGGGAAACAACAATTAAGTGTTGTTGTTCTTGACAAACATTGGAGATTCTAATCACGCGAATGTTTTTATGAGCGACTGTTCATCGTTAGCAACCTCGTTCCCAGGATCTCTCCGTCTGTCATCTGGGAGAGACCCTGGCTGCGGCTGGTCACGTGCCTCCCAGATTCTGGGAGGTAAATTTAATTGTAACAGTGAGAGGGGTGGGAAAGGAGCGTGTTTGTAGCGTTTTAAAATTGCAACTTTGGGTGATGAAATTTACTGTAAATTTGCAACAAGAAATCGTAATTATAAAGAGAACTCTTGAATTAATATTTATATCGTGACGTTCTACTCTATAATCTGGTGTCGAGTTACAATTCAAGCAAGTTGGATCAGATTTCATTATAGACTTGCCAAAGAAAGCACGCTTGCCGCTTGTGCAGCGTGGCAATATTAAACTGTGATTAAACCTACAAGAAAATATATATCTCTAGACCGAACAGTGTGGTTGTTATTTATTTAGTATTAAAGTTTATCCTGATACTCGGACCAAAAGAATTTATTTATTGATGAGATGTGGAATTGCAACGAAATAGCGAGATCTTTTGATTTCCGAAATATCGCCAACTGTATCCAGATTGTTGATCTATATAAAGGCCTTATCAAAAAACTTAAAGCCCGTCAAAAGACTATAAAATTGGCCCTTGGCATTGCTGAATCCAACGATCATGGTATATGTCAAAGTATAGCTGTCTGTTGAAAATCTACGGTATTAAAATCATACACCAAAGATAAGTCAAACGGCAAATTATAAGTCACAATATTATACATGTCTTTCAATGAGCACTGTTTAGTAGTGTTCACCACCTTTATAAATTTTGTAAACAGCTTTCGTTTTGACATGAATAAGCTTTAATTTTTTGCTTTATATGCATTCTTAATATATACAAGTGAGATTTAAATTTTTGCTTTGTGAAATAGAATACCGTTATTTTTTAATGGACAGCTTGCATCGTCTATATCATATCCAGGATTGCTTGTGTGTAAACGCATTATTCACTATATGACATTGACACTATCAAATAAATATAAGTAGCAAATGATTAATGAATTAGAGATAAACAGGTGATTCACAATGAAAACTTTAAAAATGTTAGTAGAAGTAGAAAACTCGAAAATTTATGTCTATTCGTATGACGCCAAATGACGGTCTGTGCGCATCTGACACTGTAAATTTGTGATATAGATTATAGTATATTAGCACAATATAATGATTAATAGAGACCAAGAAAAAGGCTAAAGTCTTACTATAATTACCGAATACGAATTTATGTAGTAAATCCAGATAAATCAATGACTGAAATTTCCTCTATGCTTATGGACATTTCTCTGTTCGGCTATTATCAAATGTTTACATTTGCTAATATTTGGGCCAGTTCTAGACAATACTGTTTCTTTTAAAAATCTTATAAACAAGACGCGTAGTAACAAGCGAATCGGTGCAAAGCGTATCAACGTTTACAAGAAAGGACAAATGTAATGGCCTATTTTAAAAACATTACAACAAACGTTTGTTATAACCGCGCTCGAGTGTGAAGAGAGCATGCATATTTGAATAACAACACGAGAGAGCACTGCGAGTAACGATTTGCTTGGTTTCTTGAGCTTGACTGTAAGTAAGAATGTAACAATGTTCTTGTAAATTCAAAGCAAAGAAAATAAACAAAAATTAGCAAGTATTTTGAACGTAATAATTCGCAAAATCTATGTTTTTAACGAATATCCCACTGGAAGCATGTTGATGTAATTTGATACTTTCCCCACACCCCCTCATGCTCTAAATTTTTGATGAAGCACGTGACCAGCCGCAGCCAGGGTCTTTCCCAAAGAAAGATCCTGGGTACGAGGTTGCATCGTTAGGTGCAAGCGACGGTACAACATACTATGAACATTTTTCCGACTGTGACCGAATGTGCAACGATATATTTTTCAAAGTTGTTATCAATTCCTAAAATTTTTTTATAGTAAAACGGCCTGCTCAGCACTCACTACTCACGATGATTTCATTTAGAAATGCAGTTATACCAGGAAAAGAATTGATTCTAAAATATGTAAATTTAAAAGCATTGGCTAACAGAATAAAGCTATGTGAAGACAAGGTACAAACTTTTATAGTTGCTATTTGTTATAAAATCCTATAAATAAACCGATTCAACAATAATTTTGCCTCGAATTTGCACTATTCTATGCTGCCTGTTTATATTTTATTTTTATAGTATAAAAATAAAATTGTAATACTATGAAATAAAATACATTTCTGTTTATTGACCAGTACTTATTTAATGTCTTCTTCATCCAGTGGTCAGAGTAAATTTCTACTTCTAGCAAGTAAATATTTGACAAGCAGTCTGGAATAAGCACAGGACTTTTAATGCATCAGCCAAATCCAAGTGTGCCCACCCCCTTCGCCCAGCCATTTTCCTGTAAAGCACATCCCGGGGGTTGGGCATTTCCACTCGAACCTTAGCCCCGGCGGGGCATTTGAAATTAATAATTTGGATTCTTGCACTTAATTCACTTGCGGAATTATTAATATTAGAATGTTAGGGTTTGTAATCCAAGTGAGAATATATACATGTATAAATTTTTTCTTGCGGTCCGAAGTCATATTTTACGCTTTTCTGCAATCTGATTGGCTATGTGAGCGGTCCGTATGAGCCCGTACGGACCGCGCGAGATTTAAAGCCGTAGAGCCAATGTTTTTATTTTTCAAAATTTAAAGACGAGTTTAAAGGCTACTTTTTAAAACATTAAAATGTCTGCAGACGATGAAAAACACAGTGAAAACGAATTTTACTATCTCACAAAAAATATTTCTCTTCCCGATAGCATTGATAGAAACGACGTTTTATTTGGCAGCTTCATTCGCGTGCGGGAGGAGTGATTGGGGAAATCCAGAGGAGGAATTAAAAAAAAATAAAAATATTATTTACCGGTATGGTCGGTCCGTATAGAGAAATATTTCTCTCGGTCTTAAAAACGTCCCTCGGCCTTCGGCCTCGGGCCGTTTTTAAGACCTCGAGAAATATTTCTCTATACGGACCTCCAATCCGGTAAATAACATATATATATTTTGTAATCCAAGTGAGAATATTTTGTAATCCAAGTGAGAATATACAAATGTATAGTACATGTATATATT